AAATGATAATGAAATTGTCGATATAGAAAACATAATGTAAAGACAAATACAAGTGTAATTACCTGGTTTTTGCAGCTACGCTTGTTATGGCCATATTGTCCACAAATTGAACACTTCTTTTTCTCACCCTTTCTTGATAACTTGCTAATTAGCTTATCACCCACAATAGATTCATTCTCAATAGGATCTCTCTTCCTTAGTTTTTTTGGTCTGCCTGGTTGCACTTTATACTTGGGTGGTAGTGGTGGTTTTTGGCCAGTTTTTGTCCATAAATCTGAGGGATGAATTGGCATTATTGCTGGTTTATAACTCCTCATATATGCTTCCACAGTATAGCAATGATGGACATAATCTTCAGGTACTTCCCCTTTTGTTCTAATTGCTGCAATGGCATGACTACAAGGGATTCCATTAAGATCCCACCTCCTACAACTGCAACATCTTTGATTCAAATTTACCTTGTAAGTCTTAAAAAAGCCAGAAATGTCTTCAACTTGGTAGTTGTCATCATTTGCTTTGTATGCTATCAAATCACCAGTGTGTGCCTTGTTTTGTTCAAGAATTTTTATGATTTTAGGGCATATTTTCATTACACTTCCCTTCATTTTGTCTCTGTTCTTCTGCATCCTAGACATTAGGTAAATTCTCAAGCTCTCACACATTGTTAGTATGTACTTATCCCTTGCATGACGAATGGAGCTGTTAAATGACTCACACAAATTATTCAGCAGCATGTCAGACTTTAGATAATCAGAAAAATATGCCCTGCAAAAGTGTCTTGGTTCCCTATCTAATATCCATTGGGCAGCTTTTGGATTTAATAATCTCAAACCTTCCAAGTGCTTTTGAAATTCACTTTCTGTAGTTGATCTACAAGCAGCCCAAAAATTCTGCTTCATGACTTGACCACCATATCCATCCTTGCTGAAATTAGCATGGAGATGCCTCACACAATGCCTATGTTCTATATATGGAAATAACTCTTCAAAAGCAGGTACTAATCCCTTTTGTTTATCAGAAATAAAGGTCCATCCAATGGGGTTTTGAGAAATATGAAGATCACCATCTAATAACTCAAGAAACCACTTCCAAGTTTCGTTTAACTCACCTTCAACCACAGCAAATGCAATTGGGTACATGTTGTTATTAGCATCTACTCCAACTGCACTTAATAATTGTCCTCCCTTTTGATTTCCCTTCAAATGGCATCCATCTACACCAATTAAGGGCCTACATCCATTTAAAAACCCTTCTTTACATGCACCATAACATATATACAGCCTCTTGAATCTACTCCTACCCTCCATTGAATAAGTGTTGTCCAAAATTAACTTCACAGTAGTGCCAGGGTTAGTTTTCTTAAGTTCTTCACAATAATCCAACAACAAATTATACTGATGATTTTGAGAACCAGTTACTAGCAACTTTGCCTTTTGCTTGGCCCTAAATGACTGAAATTTTGAAATATTGCATCTAAACTTTTTCTTCACATGCCTTTGGAATTGAACTCTGCCCCATTCCTCATTTAATTTGAATTCATCCTTATAATATTTGGCAAGAAATCCAGATTTAATCAGTTGATTGTCATGTTGTTCACCACAACTATGATTGAGCCTATATGTTTTAATGGTAAAAGGACAATTTTCATTGCTCCTAGAACCAAATATAACCCAGTCACAATTTACATCCCTACATTTTGCTCTAACTCTCCTAGGCTCATTCTTCACAAAGTAGACATCCTTTTTTCTCAATGCTTCATACCTTTCAACTGCCCACTTAAACTCCTTGTTATCTTTAAAAATCATTCCTTCTTGAAATTGAAAATCCTCCAAGTTGAATTTTGATTCACTAAAAACTAAACTAGAATTACTCCCTTCCTCCACATCAGAATTTGAACTAATACTCCTTAATTCATCTTCAGAATCAACACAATCTACTTCATTTATTTGGGCAATTGAACTACCAAATTCCTCTACAACATTTGTAGCTGCACTATCAGCAACATTACCATGTTCATCTTCACTTGAAAACTGAGAATCATCAAATTCACCATCTAATGATGTTGATTTTTCATTCTCAGAATTACAGTTACCCCCTTCACCACTATGTCCTTCATGTGAATCTAACAAACCAAAAGACTCGGTTAAAAAAAAAAAAAACAAACAAACCAAAATATATTTTACAATTAAACAAGTACAACACTAATCAACATTAAATAATGAAGACAAACAAAGAATAACAAATATACTATTCTGGTTTTATTCATACGTGGATCCAATATTTTTTTGATTACATAAACTAATTCATAAAAATTTCAAAACCCTAAACATGAAACTATTAAACAAATAACAAGAACTAATATTTTACCCAACAATCAATTAAACAAATACACAAATTTTTCAATTATATAAACTAATTTGTAAAATATTTAGAATCTAAATGCAAAACAATTAAACAAATATGGAGTAACATGAACTAACATTTAACCCAACAAGCAAACAAACAAAAACTAAGCCCTAAACATTAAAACAAAATAACGAAATTAAAGAAAAATATGCCTTGCAAAATTAACGAGAAATTGAATTGCTTAAACCTTCGAAAATTAACAAAGGGGAAGAACTTACACGGTAGAGTTCCCTTCCAGCCAAGTAATCGCCGATTAATCATCGAGAAATTTTTAGAATGCTTCATCTCTTGACCATCAATTTTGTGTGTTTGAAATATGAAAAAATAGTAGCGTGAACTGTGAAGTGGAAGAGTCAGTGTTGAAAACCTACGCAAGAGTATAATTAGGGAAATATTAAATTAATAATGAGCCTAAATGTGTTTGGACAGAATTACCCTTACATTAAACAGTCACTTAACACCTCTGTTAGAAAAAGGACGAAAATTGCATCATAGCTTATAACTTAGGGATGAAAAGTGGGTATTTACAACACTTAGGGACGAATCCTACAATTACCCTATAACTTAGGGACGAAAAATGCACTTTTCCCTTATTATTATTATTATTATTATTATTATATTATTATTATTATTATTATTATTATTATTATTATTATTATTATTATTATTATTATTATTATTATTATTATTATTATTATTATTATTATATGGGTAGCTATCATATATTGCGTTTGGTTTAAGTTGTTGGCTGCACAAGATTCTGAAGGGTTAGCTGTGATGTCTTACAGTGTTACTAGAGATATACTAGCTATATATCTACGTCAGGATAGTTGTCTCCATCTTTAGAGGTGCCTATAATTCAACAAAGGGAATAATTGTTATGTTCACTAACGAAAATCTTGAGTTATTATCTAATGAGATTTACTCCTTTTATAAGGTGGATTTGTTTTTTCTATTAGTTTAAAAAAGTGACGTTAAATATCTCGTTACATATATAATTCTTAGCATTGATTTCTTTGAACCATTACTATATATAACCAACTCTAGCTAGAATTTTACAAATTGATAATAGTTTTTTTTTTCTTTTTCTTTTTGCATGGAGGTTAATAATATATAAGATGATATAACAAATTTTACATGTCTCTCAAATAACAGTTGCTGGCTACACAAGAACATGAAGGGTTAGGTGTGCATGTGTTTTTTGGGGGATATGAAAGGGGAGGATCAACCACAACCACAACTATAACAATTAGTGCAACCAACCAACTTTTTCAGACTGGATATTTTGGACACTTATCAGCACCAAAAACTTTATTAGGAAAACATGTTTCCCCCAATTTGAAGGACCCCTAACCCTCCGTCCTTTGGACTAACTACAAGAGTAAATTACAAAATATCACTATTATAAATTTTTTGCTATTTTCAACCAATATTTACATCTAAAAAAAAACATTATTGGTCGATGTTTAAAAAATAAAAATAAAACATTCAGCCGGTGAAAGTAGTTGGATGGTATGTACGTTTATGCATTGGTCTGAATTTAATTTTCGACTACTTAAATTAGGGTTTAAACTCTTCACCATGTGGTTGACAATCTTGGCAAACATTACTCCTGTTTATCTTTTTAACCACTAGCCTATGCGGCTATAGCCCAAAGCACAGCAAAATTTTATTGTATAATAGCATTGGAATATAATTTTGATAATAAATTTATTTCTTGTCGACTCTTCAATTATTATAAAATGCTACCCATTGAGATCGACTTAATTAATTGGCAATCACAAATAGACACAATTTCATAATATTTGTATAATAATATAGTAGTTGTAACAAATATATATATATATATATATATATATATATATATATATATATATATATATATATATAGAGAGAGAGAGAGAGAGAGAGAGAGAGAAGTATAAGAACAAGTACAACAACTTTTGCTTGCTATATAAAACGTATTAATAATTAGCTCATAATTTTTTATTGACAAGGAAATAACTGATGTGTTTGCTTCTGATTTAATATGGATAAACATTAAATTAAAATTCAAGATATTGATATGATTTTAAGTCGCACATATATACCAAATGATAGATGATAGATATGGATGTGATTCATTTATGATGTTTGTAAGTACGTTTTAGGTTACGTTGTATTTGGCTAGTTGTACGTTTAGTACGTGAGGTGGTCCAATTTGTTGAAATTTGGGAGCAATTCATCAAAAAAAGAAAAAAGAAAAAAATATATATATGCTTGTTAAAGTATTATATAATGAAGTAAGAAATTAGCTAGGAAAAACAAATGGTAACTTGTGGGTTTATATATTGGCTGAAAGATAACTTTAACCTTCTTCCTTGGAGTTGGTTTATAAATAACAAATTAAATTATAGAAAAATCATGAAAACATGAAATAATAATAATGTTATTAATTATTTGTTGACTTGGTTTCAAATATCTCTGTGGAAGCTAAGAGAAGTCATCACCAACTGTTGATTTGTCTCATATGTATTGCACTAACTTCAACCTTTTAGGTCACATGAACACCTATAGTTTCAACCCCTAAGAATACAATAGGATTATGGCTTACGTAAGAGCTGAATTTAAACCTCTGTGTGTGTGTTTGTGTGTGTGTGTGAGAGTGAAAAATTCTGACATGTTGATCAATAAAAGTGTTGATTAAAATGTAATAATATTTGTGTAATAACAAATAGGCTATTGAACTATTTGGGGATAGTAATTAAGTCACTGAACTTGAATAAGCTCCAAATTGATCCATGAACCTGAAAAAAAAATGCAATTAGTATTTTTAGTAAGCTACCGACAAATTTGTGGTGATTAAGGTGCCATGTGTATTTTTTATTTTATATTATTATTATACAAATGGTTTCCGATATAATGATACTTGATAAGCCATCACCACGTACTCAATGCCTGCAACAAAGCGAAATTCATACTTCTTTTTTTTTTTTTTGTCTTTAGTAAGATTCAAACCCAGAATCCTGCAACTGCTAGTAAAGCAAAACCTCTTCAATAGTACTTGATATTATTGAATATCTTTCCAATTCAATAATATTACCAAGGTTGTACACGATACTATATGATCGAAATGGTATATTGCATTTGGTATTATTCAAAACCATTTCAATTGTATCAACATGTAAAATTACATACTAATAGAAAACATTTCAATATTATACAAATATTGTTGCATTTTAGTCAGTATTGTTGTTGATCGTCGTCAGGATAGATGTTCCCATATATTTATAACACAATTGTTCAATACTTCATACCCTTCATATCTCCTACTAAAATGACAGAACTATTTTGATCATATCAAGTGATTGAAAGGAAAAAAAAAATGCAATTTCTTTCAAAATTATCTTCCCTATTTCGTTTTAAAGCAAGACATCAAATAATTTTCTTGCATATAAAATTATAATGCTGAGTAATGATGATGTTGGTTTTAAGGTTAGTCCAAACAATAATTATAATTATTGAGAACATGTCCAACAAGATCAATTGTTTATTCTTGGACATGTTGTACTACAGCAAGTAGAATGATCCAATTGGTCATCACAACTAAGATTTGGCGTGTTGGATATCTTTGTGGTTGTTTCCTAAGTTATTATATATTTGTAATTAATTCTCACTTTGATTAATTAGTGAGTAATCTTGCCCATATTATTGGCTGGACAAACATATACCACTTTGAAGTAATTAATGTGGCTTTGATCGATTGGTTATTAAATTAGAACATCTAATTAATTATATTTAAAAGCTAACATTTATATATCAAACAAAAATTTGTCATAATTTTAAGAGATTTAATTTCTTCACACGGAGGATGTTGTAAATTGTAATTGACTATCAAGCCAATCATATTACTTGTCTTTTTATTTAAGGTCTTTACTCCGTACTATTGAAATTTTACGAACGAAATTGAATATATGTTATAAAATTCTTTAAAAAAAAAGAAAAAAAAAAGCAATGATGCTATTAAGAAATTTTATACTGTTATTTCAATTATTCATATCAATGAATTATTAGCTTATTCTAAATTTTGTGGACCAATTTTCCATATTTAAAATTAATAAATTATTGAATGGTTTGGCCGTTTGGGTGTATTTGAATTATTATTATATGAATTATTTTCCATATTCTAAGTGCAGTGAGAAAGTTCTAGACACAATCGAAAAGTTTTTTAGCTTATACCCGTGTAAGAGACATTAATTCGAAAATGTCATCATTGCACCAATACAAAATCGAAAGTTTTTTAAATTGTACCAAACACAAAATGTACAATAGTTATGCTACACTGATCCATCTTACAAGGTGAATATATATTAAAATATATCATTTACATACTGAATGTTTACGATTCAAACTGTGAACATTCAATATATAATTAAATTGTATATTTTTTTGATTTAGGTCCACAGAATAATTTGCTCAAAATATAAGTGGCAATCAACATTGTAAACTTTATCTATGTAAGCATACATATAGTAAACACAATTACTATATTAACTATTTTACAAAGTTTAGACTCGAAAAATGTTCCTTAAAGTTGAAGAGATAGCAAAAGAATTGGGTGCCTTTAAAATAAATTAGAATTTCTTCCGAGCAATATCTTTGACTTCGTTTTAATATTATTTTTGCAATCTTATTTATTTTTATTTTTATTTTTTATAAATGTATTTCTTAATAACATGTGCAAATTTCATACACTGCATGAAGCAATTAAGTGGGTGAACAAGTTGGCATTTAAGATTTAAGACAGCTAATGGGATATTATTTAATAATTTTATTAAAATTTTTGGTCAACTTTTATAAATAAATAAATAAATAAATAAATATATATATATATATATATATATATATATATATATATATATATATATATATATATTGCGTAATGGGGGTTTGTGACTCCAATCATTGAGTTTAAAATAATTTATTAATAATTAATAAAATAAAGAGGGTAGCTCAACGTCCCTCACTGGATCTACTGCGATAATAATAGACAAATAGTAATTAATAATAAAAACAGAATTATTTCACCACTAATAAATAATTAGAGTTGCGCTAAATGTTCATACCTCCTCAATCTTTTTATTTTTTTAACGTGACAAAATAAAAATGGGTATAAGAAATAATATAAATACCGTTTTTAATCAATTAAGCAAATTGGCACTTGATTAATTTAAATCATGACTTAACAATGCAAATATCATTCTGTCTAAATTTATGGTACGGTTTGTCTGAATAATTGAGTCAGTTTAATTTTAAAGTCTTGTCAATATAACACATGAAAATTGGGGTGGGAAAAATAGTCGGAGGGGTAAGTATATACGTGACAAAATTGTATCATATCGATAATTTAGTTTAAATAAAGTTCATGTCTGGTAACATAATTAGTTTGTAAGTCAATTCTGAATTTTTTCACCACTATTAGTTGTTTGACTTGGTTAAATAATCAATATGAGTGTTTAATTAATTAGCTATTTGTAACAATTTATTGTTCCAAAATGCTAAAATTCAAAAAGCTGCTCAAAGTAGTTTTTTCGATCAACTTTTTGAGAAAGTCATTTGCATGTAATCAAATATCAGCTAACAGATAATTTACCAGTGGGCCCTGTTTGGTAAATGGCAGTTAGCTGATAGCTGATTGTGTTAATTAGAGGGTATAACATTAGCTGATTGTAGAAAGATGCTTGGTAAATTAACAGCAAGCTGATAGTTGTTTAGCATAATTTCTTTTCTCAAAAAGTTAATTGAAAAAGTTGTTTTTGACAGCTTTTTGAATTTTATCATTTTAAAGTTACAAAAAGCTAATTAACCAAACATTTATATTGATTTTTTTTAACTAAGTCAAACAATTAATAGTGGTCAAATAAGCCAAAATTGGTTGATAAGCTAACTATCTTACCAAACAAGGCCCAAATATTTTTTTTACAATCAGTTAATACTATCAACTAATCAAACTTATTAACCCAATTAGCTACCAGTTATTTAGCAAACACTCCCACAATGAATTTAATCAAAACTTAATTGAATAATTTGAATTAATCATACAATTGATAGAGTCAACAACATATGCTCACAGTAACTTACGCTTAGAGGAAAGCACGTCGTGGTCGTACGGTAAGACGTGTTTTGATTGTTTCAATGGTTTTTGTGTTTCTTGATACGAAAACATAGCCAACTGATGTGTATAAAGTTAACTAGTTAAGCAATCTTAGAGTAAATAATCCGAAATAATGGTGATAAGAATGCATGGTACGTAACGTATGTATATGATTGTATGCCACGTTGGCCTGACTTGTAGATTTGAAATTATTATTTTTTAATTTGTGGGTATCTCTCCAAATTTATTGCAAATAAGGATATCCTAATCGAGTTGGTCATACTGTTAATTTGATAACCACAAAATTTCACAAAATTTTAAATCCAACTGGATCGATTTCTTTGGTTTGAATAGTCAGTTAAGAGTAATCTAGACTGATTAGTTCACCCATTCTTGATTTGAGTCGATGACAACTTAGGCTAGTGCACCTAGAATTTACTTAGTGCATAATAATCGATCTGTGTATCATGATTAATTATATTATAAAGTGAATCACGGATAAATATTCATTTTTTGTATTTTGAATGGTAATTTTTAATGTATTATACATGCATTGAGTGAACAGTACATTAAAATGAATCTTTTTACAAAATGAACATATAGTACAATTAAAATGAACTTTCAATGTGCTAAAAATGAACATTAAATCAACAATTCACGTATAGTGATTGAATAATGTTTTTTAGTGGGCAAAATCTGGCCAACTTCCAGCTAAGCTTCTCTTTCTCTATACTCATTGTGCTTATATATATGTGTGCTTATCAGGAAGAGAACCTCACAGCTCACATATCAAATCCTCTTGCTTGTCAAAGTTTCTTGAGAGAGAGAAAGAGAGAGAGAGAGAGAGAGAGAATGGGGAGAGAAATTGTGAGAGTAGATGAGAGTTTGGAGTGGACAAATTCTTCTTCTTCTTCTTCATTGTGTTCAAGAGATGATGAGGAGAAGAGAGTGCAGCCTCTATTGGCACTGAACCATGTCTCCTTTGTGTGCAAATCTGTGAGCAATTCTGTGGAGTTCTACGAGAGAGTTCTGGGTTTTGTGATGATCAAGCGACCCTCTTCTTTCGACTTTGAAGGAGCTTGGTGCGTCTAATTAACACACACTACCATTTTCCTTTATAGTTTTATAATTCTTGATTAGACTCGATACGAAATAATAACTTCTACTTTGTCGATTGATCCCCGTACATTTCTGTACGGGGTGCAATCATTCATGTTTTGGCGCTATATCACGTACTATCAATACGTACTTCAGTACCGGCCTGTTCCCAAAGCCCCCAAAAGGGTGTGCACGTGTGTAGTTTACGGGCTATTACACAAATGACTGAGGTTTAATTTATTCAATATATATAATACACATCATTGGATAGTGGCAGTAAATTTCTCTCGTCATAATAAAAAACACCTACTCTCAAAGTACCTGATGTAACAATGAGTTGAAGTATGTATCTTATATGATTATACTCGATACAAAACATATTGATGACATTTAATTAGCACTTTAGAATTCCTCAAAAAAACATTAATATTAATATGAAGTTATAAGTTTACTCCTTTTTTTTTTTCTTTTGTTTTAGTTTTTCTTAATCTAGCAATATTAGTTATCACTAAGGTGGTATGGGTTTCAAGTTCTAATGATTAGGATCATCACTCCCCACCTACTATTCAATTCCAAGAAGAAAGAGAAAAAGTCAAGACTTGTCCCATACAAATGGTCCTATCTAAGTTTTATCATAATGTTGACAATAACATAAAAATAAATATATATTTTCAAATACAATTTATATCTTTATTTAAAATAAAACAAATATATTTTAGATTCAAGTTTCACACAAAATTGTGACAGTTAGTATTAAATATTATGGAGTAATATTTTTTATAGTATCGATTGGTAAAAGGTTAATAATAATATGTCTTAGTAGTATTGATGTTGATGATATAAATATAACAAATAATATTATATATGTAATTGTATTTGATTTTTTTTTTTTACATCGAAAAAAAATTATAAAATATCATATACGGAGTATGTATTTTATAAAATCTTTCTTCAAATTTTTAAATCCTTTTTGAAAATTGGAGTAATATCTTAGTTAACATGTGAACCCTAATTTTTCTCTAGTCGTTTTCTAATGTTTCATTTTCTTAATATAATTGGGACCTACCTGGGACACCAAAGCCACGTGCTAAAATAGTAAAATAATCATAGTGTCTATAGAATTTAGGAAGTACATAAAAAATAAAAATAGAATAGAATAATAATTAATAATAAGCAGGAATATTGAAATGCATGGCAATCCAAGAGTTTAAATATAGGTACGGTTTGGTATCATAGTTAAGCTTATCAATTAATTTTAATTTATTTGAATAATATTAGATGTTTGACTTAGTTAAACAGTTAATATAAATGTTTGATTAATTAATTCTTTTGTAACAGCTTATTGCACCAAAAAGTTGTTCAAAACAATTTTTTGAGAAAACCATTTTACATGTAACCAGATATTAGTTAACCGCTAATTTACCAAACATCTTTCTACAATCAACTAATACTATTAATTAGTCAAATTCACTAACTCAATCAGCTAACAGCTATTTACCAAACACACCCTTTATTTTACTTGTCGTGTTTACTGTTTACCAATTAAAATTAAAGGTGCACTGTACTATTGCAGGTTGTTCAATCATGGGGTTGGGATCCATTTGCTAGGAGCAGAAAATGTACCAAAAAAGAAAGGGAAAATAAACCCAAAAGACAATCACATATCATTCCAGTGTTCAGACATGGACTTAATCATCCAGAAATTGGGTGAAATGGGGATTGAATATGTGACAGCAAAGGTGAAGGAAGGTGGTGTCATAGTTGATCAGCTCTTCTTTCATGACCCTGATGGCTACATGATTGAGATTTGCAATTGCCAAAATCTCCCTGTGCTTCCCCTCTCATCTTCATGCCCTCTCAAGCCTAAGTTCCCAAATGCCATCACCACTCAACAACCCCCCTCTTCGTTTTACGGTACGTTTGGTATAGTTACTCTGAAATTTTCACTTTGAGTAGTTGAGTATAATAGGCCAGATGAATATGATTTGCCAAAGTTCAAAACCTGACTAGTTTTGAATTTATATAGTTGAGTGTAGCATGGGGTTGGATGAGTAGTCGAGTATAATAGGTCAGATGAATATGATTTGCCAAAATTCAAGATCTGACTGGTTTTGAATTTATAGTTGAGTGTAGCATGGGGTGGTGGTAAACGTGAGGGAATTGGCATTTGTAGTATAATAACTCAGACAAATGTGATTCACAAAGTTCAAAAGCGGACCAATTATGAACTTACCATTGAGACTAGCATGAGAGATAGTGTTAAATGGGAGGGCATTTTCGTCTTTTTACACTTATAGTATAATAACTCAGATAAATGTTATTCATAGGGTTCAAAAGTTAACTGGTTTTGAACTTACCGTTGAGAGTAGCATGAGATGGTGTTAAACGTGAGGGCGTTTTCGTCATTTTGCACTCCTAGTATAATATAACTCAGACAAACTAATTTTGAACTTATCGTTAAGAGTAACATGAGATTATTCTGAACCAACCAAACATTAATAATTGTTCTTTTTGTGAATGTGAATGCAGGGAAAGTAATGTCTAAAATGCAATGTGCTCCAGAGGTGGAACATCTAATGATGGAGAACTTAGCTGTGGACATGATGGACATTTCCTTTTGAGGTGTGGCATGCACTAGAGAATGATTTTCTCCAGCCAAACATCCCTTTGTAGCCTGCAAGAAAAAGAGAGAAAAACAAAACAAAACAAAAATTATTGAAAAAATAAAAGAAATGAGGAATTCTGCAATGATGTAGAAATCTTATGTACCATATACCATGTTATATTATGACTGGGGAGAGTTGATTTGTGATGTGTGAAGTATTATTGATTGTATATAACAAAGTATTCTTTGTTTCTATTACAACTCTTAGTTTGCTTTGTAAATTTTTTGATTGTCAAAATAAATATAAACCAACCTATATTACTTATAACTACCAATTCACACTAAGAACGCCATTGAATTACAATGAGATAAACCAGCTTATATTACCCATAACTGACCAATTGAAAATAAAGACTGAGATTAAACCGCTTCAATATATCCAAGAAATACTAAATATCAGAAAGATATAGTCTTAGCTTTCACAGCTTGTACAATAGTGTTGAAATGAGGATAGAAAAGCACATGAAAGGGGGTACTCAAAATGCAAAAAAAAAAAAAAAAAAAAACTGAATCTTTGTGACAAGAAACAGGAACCAAAGTGCATTTCTATCTGGAGGGTTGACCGAAACTAGCAACAACCTAAAACTGCTAAACTATATTTAGAACACAGCAACCGAAACAAAAACATCGTAGTCCTGAAAAAAAAAAACATCGTAGTCCTGAAAAACAATGTATAGAGAGAAGCCTTTCTTCAATTCATATACTTTCCAATGGCTGTGAATTTAGAGAGAGGTTTTTGGTGAGACTGATGAGAGAAGATGCGGCGGTGTCAGAGTCGTTGGATTTCAGCAGCTCTTCTGCTGAGCTCATATTGTCTCCTACTTTGAATTGCATCTGCACCAGTATACAAATAGCAAGCAGCAGTTCATTATTGGCACCCGATGGGGAAACTAGCCAGTTCATGGTTAGAAAGTTCGGGAGTGCAGAAAGCTTAAAAGGTCAGTTTTATCTGTCATAAACCTTAATGACCACTACCACGTGATAAAATGACAGTCCATTAACCAGCTTGGTTGGCGTGAGTGACAGTGCACTCTCATCCCTTAAAAGAGAGGTCGGGAGTTCAAACCCCCTTTCGTATGGAAAAACCAATATGGTCAACACTTAGCCCCTTAATTGGCCAGGCCCGGTGCAAACAAGAATTAGTCTGAGCATGGTACGGGCTTAAAGGTGCCTTCTACAGAGGACCTACTCAGGCCACCTCATGATCTAAAAAAAAAGAATGACAGTCCATTGAAGAAAGTTCTAATTCTCTAAAATGTGTGTCACGTTCAATTTACTTTATTGTTAGTCCATTATCAAATTTCTTGCATGTACAGATCTTCGGTGTATGAAAGAAGAGACTCACATGGACATTCTTGTTCTGGAATAGACTGGCTTCAGAATCTGTAGTAGTGCTCCTTTTGGCCTTGAGTGATCTCTCTCGGTCCTCATAGAAGTCAAAGTCATCCACTAGAGCTGATTTCTCAGAGTAACTCTTAAATATGTTGAGCATTTCCAAACCTTCCTTCAAGCCGATCTGAAAATTACAGAAGTATTGTTCAATGCATGTGTATACTCAATATTTAAAAGTCAGTGCTTTCAAGTTATTGCAAAAAGATTTTGAGGGAAGAAACACGCAAAATGGCATACAATTACAAGTGCCCATTCGGAGTACCTCTTGGGTATCTCGACTGTATGTAACAGCCCTATTATCATTGTTTTCCAGGATAATATGTCTCAACCGATTGTTGGGGACATCTTTAACTATGTGCCACTTCACTGGGAAGAACCCACTCCATTTATCAAGCTGCCAAAAATCCAGTTTTTTGTTAAAATCGACTCTCCCTGTCATCTCTGCCACACCCACAAACTGTCCACTTCCATTTACCTTAAATCCAGAAGCAAAGAAATGCAAGAATTAGCCAAAAAATGAACAAATTGCTTAAAAATGAACTCTTCATAGAACTTCAATTCCAATATTTAGAAGGGAAATGAAAAACTGAGAGAATGCAACTTACAGAAAAGAAGAGGAAGACTGGACATTTTGTTCCCGTTTCACTTGCTTTTCTTTCAGCATCACAGAAAGCAGTATCTAATTTCTTGTTGCCATTTGGGGTACTAGACCAAACATCATATTTAACACATTTGTGAATGTCATCTTCACTGAATGACTTGATAACATGGAACTTTGCATGGTCATACTGAGTCTTAAAATCTTCTTTGTTATAATTTTTCCGTTGAATGGTCATTGCTGACAGCTCATTTTCGCCCGACGGTTTTGAGGGATTGCTCTTACCATTGGCCCTTGGACCACGAGTAAGCTCAGTCGAGGCATCTATTACTCCATTCCTATTGAAATTCTCTCTGGATTTGGACCTAAAATTACCATTCCAGACTCTGCCATTTGTTTGATAATTAATCGGACCATAGTGCATAAAGCCTTGGTTTTGGTTGATATATGGTGGAAACTTCCCAACCGGGTGAAACCCATTATTCATATGGCCTCCAGACTGGAAGTTCGAACCAAACTGCAAATCGCAAAACATGGAAGGATTAGAACTTTGACTAACGGAATGGGGATATTATAAGCCATCTGAAGAGTGTTCCAAGTAACAGTCGAGCCTAAATGGGATGCAGATAAAATTAAACTTAACTTCAGAGATAACTTCTAAAGCATACAGTACCTTGTTTAATTGTTTAATGGGCTGACTTTGCATGGAGTACTTTGAAAAGTTCGATGAATTAGTAGACTGTTGACTTTCAGAATTCAAAGGCAAAGGCAAATTATTTGTTGAAAGGCCATGGTTTGTTTTTGAAGAATGAAAACCATTGGACTTTACTGAACCATTTGTGCCAACTGTGGATTTAAAATTCCTTGTTTTAGGAACCATACTATTTGTAACATCTCCTCCATATGTTGAGCACCACGTGGGAGTCGGTTGCTGAAGATATCCTGATGATGTATAGGGTTGCTGTTTCCCGTCAGAACCGATAAATCCAGTACTATAAGGATTATAGCTGGGAAGATAATAGAGGTAAGAACCATTATCTGATTGGATGCCCTGAGAATTGTTAAGAACATATCCATCAGAAGGTAAAGCGAGATTTTACAATGCAAAGGCAAAACAACATCAGCGGAAAATAAAACCACCTACCGCATTAAAATAACCTTGATCATCATTAAGAGTTCCATTATATCCTGCAATAACAAGTCAATTCTCGGTCAGTCATTTAACTGTAAAAACTAAAGTGAAACGGTCACAATGCTAACCTCATCTTCAAAGCTTAAATAATTTGTTAGCTCTCTAACACTCTATGTGCCCGATGGAAAAGAAAACATTTATTATTCACTATCTAACCTGCATAGTAATGGTCATAGCCACCAGTAGGTGGATAAAGAACACCGGGCTTTGAAATGGTGGCTTGATCAATGCCATCATTAACCCCAGTGGCAGCATTCCCCAAAGAAGGAATGGAAGATAGTGAATCAGATGGTTTTCCTTCTTTTCTGGAAACCTTAAGACAAGTAAAGAAACGAAAAGGTCAAAGAATAATGAGAGAAAAAGAAAATCAAGTGCTCATAATGATAGCAGGAAGCCTAAATTTTAGTATTGTGAAACATGGAAAAATAAGTGTAAAGCATACCATTTCCTTATCAGTCATTTCAGTAATTGATTCAGACTTCAAGCAAGGAGCAATTGCCTCAGCTAAAAAGTAGTTAAGTAGTAACATACAATGACAGCAGCCCCTTTTTGTGTGTGTTAAAAACTAAAAACTAAAAACAATGTGTACAAAATACCAAAACAACATTAAAAAGGATACATTTCTCCAATATCTTCTCTCCAGCCATTATCAACCTTCACAACCCAATTCTCAACCTGAAATAAGCTGCAGCCAACAAGACAGAAAAATATCAACAAAGCAGGCAGATGGCAAACATCTATGTAACCAAAGTTGTATTCTTGCTCAAACTTCTTTGCAAAAGGCTCCAGAGAAAGATTGATCACCAAAAAGAAGTGACAAATCAAAAAAACTTCCATATTATGCAACTTCTTTACCCTAAAGTACAAAATTCACAAAAGAAAAGGTCATAGGACCATTCCCCTAAAGGAATCACTTCTTCCACACTAAAACAATTTCAATTGGATAAACCAACAGTAAATTAAAACAGAGAAATGCATTTCATTAATATCCTACAAAAGTATCTCAAAAGGGAAGCTACTTTGATAACAACAAATTACAACATGCAAGGGATGCTTCATCAATAAGCAATGAAAGAACATTTCTGTCTATTCTCTCAGAGACCAAACACAGTGTGTTTCAACCATCCCCACCCAAAAAAAAAAAAAAAAAAAAAAAAAGTTCTTTTAGCCAAAAACTGGGAAGATACGCAAAACACGCGCGCATTGTGAGCGAAAACCTCAGTGTAGCAAAAGCTAAGAACTTTGCAGTGAAAATCCTACAAAAACAGTGTTCCAAATATCTATTTAACCTTGATAAACTCTCTCTCTATACAACTAGATCAAGCAGCAAAGAACGACACTATAACAGAAGAAAGAAGTAATAGTTTCACTGTCAAGAAACAAGCAAAACCACCGACCTGGAACGCAGAGAACCGGCGGTTTGGATCTAGCCGGAGGTCCAGAAAAACGGCGTTGGAGCTCAAAGCGGCTGTCCTATGGGGAGTGAAGGCGGAAGAGGAAGAGAACAGTAAGCAGAAATGAGCGTAAATAGGGGAGGCGTGAGGGGTGAAGGAACTCAGAGCCTAAAACCCTCGAAGTTTGATCGACGGTCACGATTGGTTTTCCATTGTCACGGGAGACGTTTGCGTCCGTTGATGGAGAGGAAGACGAATGGAGAGAATTGATTCTTGTGTTGGCCCAATGGCATAAAGTTCCAGAATTTTATACTACTGGATTTGTAGCATAATAACTATACTATTTATAATCCCAAATGGATAATGACATTTTTGTAAATAATAAAGATACAGACTACATTGAGCTAGCCTCATAATAAAACACAGATGGGCTCAAATATGAACATAATTATAAAGCTATATATTCATAATTTTTAACTTTCATATTCATAATTATTGAATTCTATATTCACAATTACAGAATTCTATATTCATAATTATAAAGTTATATATTCAAAAAATGTGGATTTCATATTCACAATTATTGAATCTCTATATTCATAATTAGATAACTATATATTTT